CCCAACTTTGCGCATAGAGCCCTTTTCCCTATGTTCACCTTACGGACCGAGCCCCTCCCTCACCTATGATTCTCTTACACCTCTAGTTCAAAGGAGACCTATCCGTCCCCCTACCTAGCTCATTACCATGAGGAAGGGTTTGCTACGTTCACCTCTCTTCCTTACTTTTGTTTCCTGTTCTATGGTTGCAGAAAGGGTTTTGTTCAAGTTGGATTGCCATGTTTGCGCGGGGGGGACAAGAAGCCAAGTTAGACACTATTCCTATAGGAACTCTCACTTCCGGGTTCCATTATGTTGGCTATCAAGACTGGCAGATTGGTTTATGTCTTTTCTCTCAGTTTGCGTCCATATTATCCCTCCGATAACTTCACACTTCAAGTCTAGGCCTACAGGAACGGCATTACGCTCCATCATTGGCTTTAGGAAGGGGATTGCAGCAACCGGTGTGGCGCACGGTTCCTCACTCATTACCCGAGGGTGGATGTATCCGGCGAGCAACGTCCTACGACCGCCGGACTTATCCCCGCTTCTTCAGATGTTTAGTGTTTGCAGATGTGTGAAGGGGGAATAGTAGGGTATCAAAATTCAAGAACAAAAAGCCCAAAGAGTAAAACCATGGGTGCAGGGGGTCGAAGGTTGCCATGAAGATGATATTGGCATCTATAGTTAGATTTAAGAATACCATCGAGAACTATCGTCTCCAGCTCTGGAAACCGTTTTGGTAATTCTATTCATCCTGGGAATATGTTTTCCATTAGAAGAAGCAATTTCGTACACACGGAAGAGAAAATATCGCCTCACCCCAAGGAACCATATCTGCGTTCCCAGTTTGAGGGAGAGACAAGTCCGCTTCCGTTGCCAGGAGCAATCCTAGTCCCCGAGTGCATACTACCGACAGGGGGAAGAAAAAAACAAAAAACATCAAAATTATTAATACAACCTACAAACTTTGTCTCTGCCACTAAAAAAGTCGACGTGGATACCCTAGAGCCAGAGCCACTAGAGTTTGTTATTCCCGCTATGACCATTTCCTCCCCACCTTCTTAGTAAAATCCCAGCCCGAAGACAGTAGATTGTAGGATAGGTTATCCTTTGCAAACCCTTATCAACGGCAGCGCTAATCCAAAGTACACCCCAAACCACCATAAAAGCCAGCCATCTAATTTGCACCGCCCATTCGCCCTCCACCCAAGGCAGTAGCAAGCCCTGGCAGATACTCCACACACCACTACCAACAATTAATCCAAACGCCCGGCCGGTCCAACTCCAATTAGAGACAAGGCTAGAGGGCAAGATTGACATCTTGCCCGCATATATCGTCGCCCGTTAAGACACCCCTGAACAGGTGACAGGGATCTGCAGGCGCCTTGCATTCGGGGTCGCTGGCTCTGCCGGATGTAGGATAAAGCATTGGACGTTAGCCCGTGGTATTGGGGAGGGAACATCCTCGGTTTGTTCCGTTTACCGGTATTCGTGTTCTAGGGACCCAACTCCTTGAGTAGAGGCAGCCGGAATTGTCTAGAACGGGGCGGTGGATGCTTTGAACCCCCCCCCCCCCGACTACCAATATCCCACGTCACGATGCCAGCGCCCCAAATTGCAATCAAGACCGGAACATGAGTGGAGTCGGTATGTGAAATTGATTGCGGCGAACAACAAGAACTTTTGGTGGAATGCGCAAACTTGCTCCCGATTTGCTTAGCCCGGTAACAACTTCCATCTTTCTCTACTGGTCAAACGTGGTCATTCAGGGGGTGGCCGGGAGCTAGGTTCACCACGTGCGGCGCACAGCAAGGCGCACAACGGGGCGTGGTACGGTGCGGTGCGATGGCTGATGGCCTGCATTGAATTTTCCAGGAAATCGCGAACTGGACCACCGATGAATGAAGATCTCGCAAGAGAGAAGGATTTGATACATCATAGCCATGTTGCCCACAATTTTTTAGGATGATGCCTGGAGGCTCGTTGCCTTGTCGCGGCAAGCGAAGAGCATTGTCCCTCGCTGCGACCGAGCTCCCTGAAAAAGCATTGCACAGACCGTCCAAGGTCCCGACAGTGCTCATACCGTCCTCCAATGGTTGAGATATACTAGCGCGGGTTTAGCCCTGAGTCCGAGTACTAGGTAAGGGTGAAAAATCGGGGAAAAAAAAAGGTAAGCAAGATCCTATAGGGCAGTAAGCAGATAGCTAGTAGAAATAGAAAATAATGAGTTCTGGTGGATACAAACAACCTCCGAGAGAGACAAAACACAATGCCACACCGCCGAGATGTCAGAAGCTAGTAGGAGCGGTTTAAAATTGGCCTTAATATGATACGAACTGGCTTGGTGCATCGCCTTAAGCCCCGGGGGGCCCTTCGGGCTTCGGAATCACTAAAATTCGGGCTTCCGAGAAGGCAGATAGGGATGCAACCATTGGACTCTAGGTTTCTAATTTATGCAATAGTGTGTTTCTTTTCATATTCTTCATCCATCAATCGGCACATTTTCCGCCTTGCCGCCACAAAATATTCCGATTTTTTCCTTTCTATCCATGGACTTGACCTGTGCCTGGCAGCTGACAGGATCTACGTTCAGAGCAGTGTAGAGGTGGGGGTTGTTCTGAGCCTCAATGCCAAGAGTTTTCATGCCAAGCCAATCCACCACGGCCAAAGAACCCTCTTCCTATCCAGCGAGAATTCCGAAGACCTTTTAACAGCTTTCAAAAGAGGATCAGACGGGACTCCTTATCCATACCAATATGGGATGATAGTCATCAGGGGCAGTTAGTTCCATAATATATTCTCCGTATTCAACTACAGAGGTGCCGGTACTATAAAACTCAGAAACCCCATTTTGCCTTGTCAGTCACCTAGAGTGGGGTACAGTACATTGCTACGCTGCCACTAGAAAGGCAGAGTTGCATCATCACACCGGCTGAACTGCCATCCCAGTAGATGCTACTGCACCTGTGCGTGTTGGATCACTTGTACCAACTGAATAGCAACAGCTTCGATAGGTGAGAAATTCCCCGGATTTCTTCCCCATGGCGGTGGTTCCTATCATTTGCTGTAGGGTGGTAGGGGTGGGACGCCACGTCAAGTCGCTCAGCTGCATAGGAGCTGCGAGGTGCGGCTCTGTTAAATATTCAAACACCAACCGTCGAATCGGTGTAGGGCAAAATAATCATTCATTTCCAACGCAGATCCAGCCCCCCCCCAAAGAGAGCTCGCCCAGAGTATCCATGACCCAGGATAGAATGCTGGAAGACGGGCTACGCAGCAGGCAGTTAGCCCTTGCGGCCAGCACATGACTAGCTTGAGTATAAGGAACGAGGCCCGATTGGTGGTACAGTACATATGTTAAGATGAATGATGTTCACTGTATGAGGCTGACCCCACCCATACGAGCGCAGCCAGGTGCACAAATATCATACTGTATCATAGGAGAATCGGGGGGCCAAACCCGATTCATACCCCAGGCATGCCTTTGTTGCCAATTCCTGCATATCATGAGAAGCTGGTCGAGCTCTATATAGCACATCACCGGACCCCTCGCATTGAATTGCTTGAACCCTACATACCACATCACTCACCAACTCCCCCCGAACTCCCTCCCACAATACAATTATTCCCCCCAAAATAACATAAATCTACCTGCAAGAGAAGCACGGATATACGGGAGAGGAGAAGAAAGCTGAGCGACAAATTAAGCGCTCCTGAGAAAAGTATACAGGACCCCCAAACTATGAGAGATTAATGCTAAATAACTTTTCTCAGGAAGCCATTCCCTGATTTTGTGCGTTTCTGATATAAGAACTTTGCCCACGCGAATTCAAGAACAGGAACCTAAACCGAGCGGCCGAGAGACCAACACTGGGCCTCAAGGTTGCGTTCAACCAGGAGGATTGTTTACCCGTGGAGACCCAGAACCAGGATTGCTTGGGTGTCATAGGGTATTCCGAAGTCTAGTCGTTTTCAAAGCTAGCATAGGTATTCAGCAAGTTCAATCTCTGTCTTAGGTTATGCTAATTGCATCCTCGTTAGTAATCAAGGATCATTCCCTCATCTCAGGAGGCGCTTCTCATCCGTCACAATATACATCAACAAGCCGCGTTCAATCACCAGATCCTGGAACAACACGGTGTCAGGCTGCGTTGAAAGCGCTAGGACGAATATTCCACACGGCACTCGGATTTTCGAATATAAAATGGCTGAGAGACACAGTGAACGGAATGTGGGGGGTTGTGGGGGTGGAACATCGGGCCATGATCCTGAGGTCGCAGGATGGCAAGAAGATCTGCGTGGGACAATGGAAGCTAGTGATACACTCTTTTCTCAATACGAGAAAACCCTGGATATAGGGTTCCTTAATCGGGCAATTGCACTAGCCGAAAGCGCAATAGAAAGCACCGACCCACGCCATCCCAATCGAGCGGTCCTGTCGGCGAAGCTGTGCAAAATGCTGGGGAACAAATACCAGCATACAGGAGATGAAGGAGATCTCGACACCGCGTCGGTATGGGCAATGGAGGGAATGGACGAAACATCACGGAACAAGGTCAACGATGCAACCGGATGTAGCAGTATCCTCACTATACGGCGTCAACTAGAGAGTGTATACGACCGGTACAGATTCCCGGGTGGGGATTCGTACAGGAGATATGAGCGGCTAGGTAACATGGCCGACCTCAACGAGTCATTCATTCAGGTGGAAAAGGCGCTCGAAGGATATCATCCAGGGAACCCCGCTCGGCCAGATATGCTAGAGGGCATGACCCTCTTGTTGTTAGCAAGATTTAAGCGGCTTGGTGACATAAATGATCTGGAATTGGCTGCAACCACGACTGAGGAAATAATGAGACTGAAGCGCAGCGGCCCGGAACATACAAATGCGCTTGCAAGTTTGGGAAGTATATTCTTCCACAAGTTTGAGCAGACAGGAGACCTTGAGAACCTCCAAAAAGCCATTGAGCATGCCGAAGAGGCATTAGCGGCTACCCCTCATGCCCATCCACTCCGAGCGGCCACGCGCAATAACCTGGGATCCATGTTCTCTTCGAGGTTTGAGCGGATGGGCGACCTTAGAGACCTCAAAAAAGCGACTAAGCATGCTGAGGAGGCACTAGCTGCGACCCCCCGAGATCACCCACTCACAGCGACAATACATAACAACCTAGGCTACTTTTTGTCTATGAGGTTTGAGCGGACAGGAGACCTAGGTGACCTCCAAAAAGCCATTGATCACGCCCAGGAAGCATTATCTACTACCCCTCAAGATCACCCAGATCGAGCGAGTAGGCACAGTAACTTGGGATCCCGGTTGTATTCAAGGTTTG